GCATTCCTGACCTATATTGCTAAATATTTGTGAACTAATAACCCAGCAGGATTTTCAATCCCTCAATCTTAACAAAAAATCCTAAAATTTTCATCCACCTTGACTAGTAGGAGTGGTTTAAGATGAAATTATCTTTTCCTATTTATAACACGCCTAGATTTAACACACTAAACATTTATAAACAGACATCCATATTTTATTATATATACTCTAAGTACTCAATTTCTTCCAGATTAGCTTCTTTCTTACTAGTGCACTCATGTACATACAAACCTCATTATTTCTGTTTCGTAGTCTTGTAATTCTTGGCTGAGATCAGGAAAAAAATGTATTGGCTTGAAATTAGCTAAAGGTGCCCTCTTTTCTGTCAAATACCTAACTGTGGGCTCCTATGAAATAGTCTCAGCAGTTTTTATTTTCTTTATGAAGTACCCTAAATGCTCACCTGAAAAATAAGAAAATTCCTAGCTTTGACAAGTACGCCTATTTTTTCAAGCTCAGATATATAAGCAGATCGGCTGACAGATTTATCATTGAAAAAAAATTCAGAACAATTACCTAAAGGAGGAAAGGAAAAAAGAAAAGTTACTATAAAATGGCTACAACAAAAAATCCGTAACAAAAAACTAAACTAGTGGTGCAATTTAACTAAGCAATTTCCTCAAAGAAGAAAATGGATTTCAATTACTCCCTTAGTCACTTCAGTATTTCATTTTTCTGTATGAAAATTCTAGTTGCTTACTTCCAAAAGGAACTGACAGATGCTTAAGTGCTCATGCCTGCAGCAAGGTGTCAGACCTCATTTTGTAGAGCCTACACCATCTACACATTCCAAGTGAATATCTACAGATCAAAGTACAGAGTAAAGAACATATATTAATATATTTGTTTAATTTTTTAACCGTGCCCCAGTATGTTTTTTCAATTATAACACTTGGCTATCAAAATGCTACTGAAGGACTGCAAGAAGTCTTGCAATATTCATGGGCTTAATCCACCCAAACACAAAAGAATATTAGGCATCTGAAATTCAAAGTTGAATAGTCTTGGTCTTCATTTTTTCTACATCAGACAATAGAAAGTATGTGCAACAGAATCTACTACCTACCACGGATAACTCTTGAAAATGTTTTTTCTTCCCCATCTTCTTCACAATATACTATCTTCACACTAGCTGTAGAAGAAACTGGTTTTCCAACATGTGCTCCATGAATCAGTTCTTTAACACTTTTAACTCGCAAATTAGATGTCTTTTCACACATCACAAAACTAACAGCATCCATTATGTTAGATTTTCCTTTAAAAAAAAAATAGCTTTGACATGGGAGAAATGAAAGGAGGCATTTGATTAACAATTAACTAAAAACATACACATAAATGTAAAAGTCTTTATTAATTCTAATTCTATATTTCATGGAGGAAAAAATATTGCACATAATAACATAATAAAGAAATATATTTCTAAGATGTAATACACTGGCAGCAGATAAGCCTGTCTAGTAAAAATCATCACAAAACTGATTTGTTATTTGTTCCACCTTGTTGAACAAATTTTTCTTACACAGGCATCTCTAGAGGTCATTAAACTGAGCAAATAACACCAAAATCCTTACTTGGTCATTTCCCTTACATAATGCAGTCAGTCAGGTTTGCTGCATAAGCACTCTATCATATAACTACAACTTCTGCACTAGAACTCCAGAGTTCTGAAGAACACAAGTACTTCCCCAGATCCATTCACCACAGCAACAAAGTTCTCTGATGATACTCCTTAGACAAAAATTCTCTTTATTGAATCCTCTTTTTGTTTTTCCCCTTTAGTCTTGAGAATTTCTGTTAACAGCCTAATTATTTTCTGCCTTCACCCTTGCTACTTCAGCAATATTTTTACTTATTCTCAAAAATATCATAAAAGAATAATAGAGGGAAAACAGATGAATAAAAAACTCAATCCAGAGATTACAAAATATTCACAATTTTTCTCCCAATTCATCTATAAAATGTATACAGATTTAACTGGAAGAGTACCTGGAGAAAGTATGTATAACTTTGAGACTTTCCAATACAGAACAGTGGGGATAGGATGATAAAGAATATGATAATAATGTTAAATAAAAGTCACATACATTCATAGATCTCAGTTCAATTAGGTAAGCGAAGAAACAACAGGATCTAAAAATCTAAATCATAAACTAAATCATTAACAGACTGGGGAAACGAAGAGCAAATGCTAAGCCCATTCTTGTGCCTCTTTGTTAGGATAACCTTCACCTCCTATTGTATTGTTCTCTGGCAAATAGAACATAAAATCCCACCTGTTGAATGGAGCTTTCAGAAGAACTGAATCAAATTTTAAAAAGTTCCAGCACTCACAGGATAACAACATGGAGTCACATCTACAAAGCTCTTGTGGGTGAAAGTACAAAGCAGCTACCATTCTGTAAAGCTACTCTCTTTCCCAGAGGCATTTACTCATATGGCAAAGACCACAGACTCAAATCAAGGAGCAGCTTTCTCCTGCTGCAGCATACAACCCAGAGTATTAAACTAAAACTATCTTTATGTGGCCTTTGTAAGCTGAACTACAAACTGGAGTGGCAAAGGCAAGGTCTGCTGTTTGCAAACCACTCTACAAGGGCTGGAAAGAATAGAAAACACAACTAGAAACAGAAATTCCTTCAACCACCTCATTTCTGTCCTTCCATGCTAGAAAAATCTATACTTTCAGTTAAAGAAAGCAATGGCAAATCAGGAGCCTCCAAAACTTTGCTCGTGCTGTCCCCCCTCAGGTGCATATGAAGAGATTCTAAGCAGACCTGTAAGTCTTTACTTCCCCTCCACCCAGCCCTGCAACTCTACTCCTCAACAGGCAAGTTATGACCGCCCTCAGCCCCTCAGTGCAGCCATGCTGCCCCCGTTCCTGGGCCTGCGGCTGCACTGCTACCGGTTCCTCCCCATCAGGCCTGTGGTGCTCACAGGAAAGACCTGGCAAAGGCCCCAAAGGTGAAACCACAATCCTGATAGCTACAGTGGAGAAGCAGGGCCACCAGCTGTCCGCTGACACCCAACCTCCCCGACCAGCCCGCTACCTGATCCGTTGGGCCCGATGATGCAGCTGAACCTCATGAAGGGGCCGATAACCTG